GAACAAAAAGTTGCATTTGTCCTCGGCCACGAAGGCACATAAGCGCACACAAACAGACACACGCACACATGGTTTTATATTGACATTTAATTGGAGCTAGCCAAATCACTTTATACCTCATCAAAAAGCAGAATATGTATACCGCTTTTTATGGTTGCAAAAATGATAATCTGTTCCGATGGTGTCCTTCACATGGCGTACAGAGGTTTAGCACGTGTTCGCCGGAATTAAAGGAAAGGTTCAAGAAGACAGCGTAAGCCGGAATGTTCTAGTAAAGCCAATCGAGAGCTGGATCAGAGGGATCCGCCATCGCTACCGGTAAGATCGATGTTTGAATCATTTCATCAGACACTCTTACTAGGAATGGAAGTGAGCTCAACATTTATCAACCATGAGATTTCTCTAAGCCCAACTTTTCTTCGTATTTACTGGCAAAGCTTGTGTGGCCATATGGTACAGACACTAACAGCAACAGATAATTTGTCCAGCACAATCTATTCACAGTTCAGTGGACAAAAACAAATATTATCAGCACTTGAACTTATGTGCGCCATGTTAGTACCCGATTAGGAAGCAAGAATACAGTTTTATATAGAAAAAGTTCTCATGAAGTCAGACAGGAAAGTAGGAGAACAAAGTACAAACTGTATATAAATAAAGCATCTCCTCTCAAATGGCAAAAAGGCATTGATTCGTTAGAGACTGAGATGTTGGCCGGGTACACGGCCCAAAATAAGGTAAAGCCATTGCGATAAATCTTGACAAAAAGTTCCAGGCAATTTCGACTTAATTTGATAAAAGGAAGGCCACTTCAGTTGGCAGCGCGTAGGTTTGAACAAATGAACAGAGCATATGGAATTAAGTAATTAATATGAAAAATTTATGTGCTTGTCGGTACGTGTGTGCGTGTGTTTGCGAGATCAAAAGGGAATTACAAAATACATCTAGCAGAGCCCAAGCTGAATTACACAATTTAATTGAAAGATAGCAGAAGCTGGGTCCTGGAGAATCACATTGCGTTGGAAAGACCTGTGAAGTAGATTAACTCGTGTAGTTTTGAGTTGAGACAAGATGTGAAGCCGTCGTGTAGTTATGCTGAGCATGACCATGGCAATTGCAACTACCCATGCCAGAGGCCGATAGGAAAAGGAAACGAGTGGGCGAGTGAGCATGTGTCCCGAGGGTCAGGCATCAACGAGTCACTCTGGCCGCAGCCATCTGTGAGACAACTTTGAAATAGTGTCTCGGTATCCACTGCGGCTCACGTTCCAGCCGAGTTGCGAGATTGAGGAGGTAGTCAAGCGCGGACTCGAGACTCACGGGGACGAAAACGTTGTCAAACCAGTGTCCGTAGCGCAGCTCCATTTTGCGACTTGCATCCAGACAGGCGGCCAGTTCAGCATCCTTGAAAATGCATTGATGTTGTGAGGAGAAGAGGATGAATGAAATGAAGTAGAGAGGGAGAGAGAGAGAGAGTTAAGCCAATTTACAGAGCTGTAGCTGCACCCATATATGCGGTTATACTATATTATTAGATATATTGTTATTAGCATTATGTTATGTATTATATTATATTATAACTTTGTTATATCTAGCATATTACCCTTGCAGATATGAATGAGAAAAGTGGAAGCAGGCCTAAAAACTAAAGCAATATTCTTGTTTTAATAATTCAAACTGGATGAATTTAAGGGACTGTGCTACTATTAATGTATCAGTGTAGAGAGAAATAACATAATTTTGAGCAATCTCTTGAGGTATCCACGTTGAGTTTTGTTTCGTGATCCATTAAAGCGTGTGAATTTAATTGTTATTAACATTCTTAGGGCTATTCTATTCTATTTTATTCTATTCTATTCGGCTAATTTTTTGCATTCATTGTTGGCCAGAAATGGTTGTACGAATACAGTCCAGATCTGGTGATGCATGTTCATTGCGAAGGGATTCGTGAATTGGTCTCACCGTAACCAGAAAGAGGCGAGGCCATTTGCTGGATTTTCGTCTGTCGTGTGACAGACATTGTACTAAGCCACTTTTTCCTTTGTAGATATGAGGAATATGTTGTATGTTAGTGTAATGAGCATCAACAAGAAGTGATCGAGGTCGAAGTACGATGAGTAGTGTTCACTTTAAGGCAAAATTCTCCTTCAATTTCAGATGAGGCTAATTCACGAGTGTCCTCCGACCAACTTTTTTTTCGAAATGGAAAGCGAGTCACGTGTAAAGACAGTGAGCTGAATGGCGCGTTAATTGGCAACGCTTGGTCTGCAGCACTGCGCCAACGATGAACACATGCAGTGTCACGTGATGGAGGTATTCGAATCAAGACAACTTTACGGTAAATTGGATGCTAACCCATTCTTGACAAGATAGTCTAGCAATGCGCATGTATGCAAATGAGAGTGAGAGAAGGCATGCACGAGGGCAGGCGATGCAGTGCAAACGGAACCTTGTCAAAGTCTATGTACAGCGTTGCCGAGAGAACTCGACCAGGCATTCGTGTCAGTGATAGATCACGAGGCTGGTATGTTTAGGTTGCGACTTCACTCACGATGATGTCTGAAGGCGCTGCCTGTTTATACCAAAAGTGAGAAACATGACTATGAATCAAGCTGAATTGGCTTATCAAATATTTAATGTCTGTCAATATCAATTTTCACTTGACCTGCTGCACTAAACTTTCACTAACCTGTTTGTCAAAGTGATTGCCAGGATTGGCTTTCTTAACTTGCTTCGCATGCCTCACCAGAGTCGGTATAATATCGATTTTTCGACAAGTCTACTTCATACCCATGGCTTGGCATGTAGACATTTCAAGGAGACCAGCTTGAATGTATGCAGAAAAGCTGAGTTTCCGAGTATCCCTTGATAGTTTACTGCCATTTGACCTTTCCTTTATTTTAAAAGGTCGAGTGGAAGGTAGTAGAAATTGGCCTCATCGGAAGCCACAAAAAGATGCCCAGAAGACTGGCCTTTATAAAATCAACAGCCCCAACCGCAGCTATGGAAACTTATTCATCCCCAGATCGTATTAAGTGATTTATGGACAGATAGAAGAAGTTTTTTTTTCACAATGCTGTGAGTGGGCCTGATGATGCTCCTGAATTCAACTTAGCCTTTTGGGAGGAAAGACAGTGTGCCATTCAACGGCATCATGAGACCTTTAACTCGTTTAGTTGTTGAAAATTCAGCTACGAGTTCTTACAACGTCTAGGCATTTTGTAGTGCTTTCATTATTCCGTCAGGATATACCAATAGTCTCGAGACATCGGGTTCGGGATGAGGCCACTTATGGTGTCCTTTTAATCAACTTTTTAGACAAAATGAAAGGCAGAATGGCATCAAAGCAGATTTTTTGCTTAATATTCTCCTCAAGACTTCGCTTCAAAATGCCTAATGTGGTCTCAGTGACATGTGCACGATGTAGCAACCGTTGCGGCTCGCTTTTTTGTGCTCTGGAAAAAGGGAGTCATTGACTGGGCACATTCTCACACGTTTCACAGGAAGGCTAAGTAACATGATTTCAAAGTAGAATCTTAAGAACCACCGAAACTTTATAAAAAGTCCTGCTCCCATCACTTTACCCCCAAGGTTTCTGCCAATAATTTTTGATCGAGGCATTAGTATACTCTGGCATCAGAAAAAAGGAAAAAAAAACTTAATTTAAAAAGATAAGTTCTCTAGGCCGGCCTTGAAATAATGCAAGTCGCGAGTAATGTGACTTTGAATGGTACAATATTCAATTTACTACGAAATATAAATTAACACCAGGCCACATGTAATACGAGCCATAATTCGGTTAGTGATTTCCAGGATTATAGTGCAGCGGAGTTGACGCATCAGTTATAATTAGACTGTTGCCATTTCAGTAGGCGTTGATACTTGTCACGCCATCCAACTTTATAAATACATTAATGTATGGTAAAAGTAGATAATGTCTCCTTAGAAAATATGGACGAGGGGAATAATGCTTGGGAAAATATTTGAGGAGGAAAAAAGAGGCGATTGGTGATTACATTGGAGTATTGTTAGGGGGACTTTCATTTGGTATGAAAGTGCATGAAGAAGAGATTCGTAGGTCGATCTCAACAGAAGACGACTACTAAATCCCATTTGGCTTTAATACGACTTTCAGGTTGACGAAGTCCACAAGACCTCCTCCCTCGATTCGGGTGGAAACGTGCTGAGCTTTCGTCCCTCATATGATGGACATTATAAGAGATGGGTCTCATTTCTGTAAAAGTCTAACGTTAACACCAGGGCAAGGAGACTATCCGGCTCTATTTTACCTCTTTTATAGATTTAATTAAGCCAAAATAAAAAAAAAACCTAGATAGATCTATATAGAGTGGTTTGGCTAATTATCTTTCATACTGGTCCTGCCACTTTTGCTAGTGTGTGCGTGTGTGTATGTGTGTGTGTTAGCATCTATACGCAATACCGGTACTAAATCATAATTATCAGAAGGCCAATTTCAGGCTGTGATCATCAAGGCTTAATGTCCCAAGAGAAAGTCTTGCCCAAGACTGCGTAAGTCCGTAAGCAAGTATGGTTGAGATAATAAGATGTAAGCTTCAAGTTGAGTCACCTTCTTTTGGATGGCGGCTCAAAACCCTCTCTCTCTTTCGATCTATCAACCAAGCACAATTAGTTCCTACTCAAATTTCTACCACCGTTCCTCACATCCAACGTATTTCCTAAGCTATCAATTTCAATAACCTCTTATCTTTATTTTAACCCCAGACGTAGCATAATCAACAAACCTACTAGTTTTAGACCATTCTATTTTATGTCCAGTTCCTAGCACTTT